AAGGCAGCAGACGTTTATTCAAACACTCTTTCACGTAAATTTCTTGGTTGACAGTCCCGGAAGCTATGAAAATGCTGCTTTTCAAGCCACAGGTACAGATGGCTTGCCAAACCAGATATTTCTTTGCGAACTTTGACAGTTTCATGTGCTTGAAAACATCTGCTACCTTTCCCCTTCCTTTTGCCGTATAAAACTCCTGTCCCGGAAGCTGCTTGTAGTCGGCTTTGACGTAGGTTTCGTCGTCCATTACCACGCAGTCAAACTTCGTCAGCATCGTCGTGTACAGCCTCCGGGATCGCGATTTGGCCGTCGTATTTTGTTTATCATCGCGATTTGGAGTCACTACCTTCTTGTAAGTCGATAGTCCGGCTCGTTTTTTGGCTCGATGCACGGTTGTAGACGATACACCCAGCTTATTTGCGGCATCTCGGAGAGAGAGGTTAGGGTTTCGCTTGAAACTACCGGCAACTCTCTTTGTCGTCTCAGCGGCTTCCGGTTTTCGATTTCCCCCCGATCCAGACTTCCTGGCTGTCGACAAACGTTCCCCAAACACTTTAATTACATTTGTAACGGTTGATTTGGCAACTTTTAGCGATTTTGCCAACTTTGCGTGCGAGTAGCTCGGATTTTCGCGATGCGCGAGCAAAATTTTGATACGCTGCTCTTCTTGCTTGGACGGCATTTTGACAACTGAAGAGTGAATTCCAAAATCAAAATAGGAGCAACATTCTACACACACACACCTTCAAAATGAGGGGTGTTCAGGTTTTTTAAATGCAAAATTGAAAGAAATACGTCAAGTTGATATTGACCAAATTTTGACCGTATCACCCTTTAGTTTATCGAACAAGCATTTAATGGACAATTTAAAAGTATCATAGTTGGTAGTACCGCCACCTGTAGTGCGCATAGTCAATTCCCTTGCGTTTGACGTTTACACACTACCACCATCTGTTCAGTGCAGTGCCCATCACAGTGTACTCAACAGATGGCGGTAATGTTTTAGCGACGATGTTTTACAGTGAGAAATATTCAGTGTGTTATGTCTGTTTGTCTGTGGTTGAACCACAAGCTTAATGCCATTAAAATACTTGAAATCCACCATGAAACCTCAACTTCGTTAATAACAAAAATTACACGAACTTCAATATTGTTACAAAAAAATCTTCAACGGAACAACAAAAACAAACTTGAATATTATTAATCATTAAAAATATTGATCGTTATCTGTCAAAAATGACATGACGCTAGCGTTTTATGGCCAATTCAATCTGATTCAGTCGACTCCCATAATGCCTATTTTTGCTACACTCGACAGCCACTCGACGGCGTCGAGTGTCGAGTTACTCGACGAGAGTGTCGAGTTACTCGACACTCGACGCTCGACTCGACTTACATAATTGGGGCCTATGTTAGCTGATTTTTTCGGTAAAATATCGTTTGCTGTTTTTCAGTAAAGCATTGGATTGCTGATCATGATCCAGTAATTCGTTGTACTGATAATGAAAGCTTAAATTTGGTGTGTGTGTATATATAGTCAACTTGGAGTCCTTGGACACATCTAAAACCCCGTACAGACTATGGCTTATATCATGTCATATAGGGTGTCTTGCAATGAGCACTCATACATCTAGTTTTCACTGGAAAACGGTGTCAAATTTAAGAGAAAATTCACCAAATGGAACACAACCCTGGTAGCTAAGTTCTTATCGAAAACCGGTCGATCGACAACACAGGGAACACAGCGAACAACAAATCAAAAAGACTGGCAACTCTTCCATTTTCTCATAGGAACTCATACGCACGATTTGTTGTCTTCGCTTAATCGACACGTTAAAGCTACGTGATAAGTCACGTAAATTCCTTATTCGATCAGCTTTGCGTGACTTACGAAGCATGTATGTGATGTCACTTGAATATTAGAGAAAATTTTTGTTGAAATTGAAAATGAAAATGAAAATGAAATTTACGTGATTTCCACATAGACAATTTCTATGTGTATTTCACGTAATTATCAATTCGAAACTAACGATTTTAAATTGGCTCACTCCTTGACTAGCCTATTGGTCCCAAGCAAATCGATTAACGTATCCCATTCTAGTATACATTAGACTGATGCAAATTTTGAAATTTTCGCTCCACAGTGCTCATACGGTTCCAAATCGGGTCCTGATTAGTCTCCCAAAATTTGAACTCATTTGCAAAGAAACTGACTTGGCACAAATCATTTGAAGTTTATATGGAAATTACCATGGGAAATCAAAACTTTTTGTTCATTGTCTTCTTACCTTTTTCCATATTGCACTGTTCAAAAATTCAAAAGCTATACTTATGGATAATTTTCTCAGCTTTAACTTAGCAGAATATAGTTGTTGAGCCAAACGTCAAATAAAATAGTTATTAATTGTTTAAGAGATTGATAATCTTATGGCATGATCAAGCAGCTGTTATGTGAGCAACACTGTATCGTGCAGTGTGACATAGTAGCCATGATTTTTGTGCTCTATTCCAAGCACCAGAAACACTAATGTTGCCTGCGGAACAGTTGAATGAGCATAATCGTAAGACATTAGTTGCTTGAATTATTGATAGCTTTTGATGCTTACATTATATTAAAAAGTGGTTCAGCACAAAGTTGTAGCTGAGAAAATTTTCTACGAGCTCTGTTATCAGTTTTTAAAGCAGAGCGATATGGTTAATTGTTAGATGGATATGAACAAAACATTTGGTTTTCCTATAGTAATTTCCATATAAACTTCAAATGGTTTGTGCCAAGTCAGTTTCTTATCGAATGAGTTCAAATTTTGGGAGACTAATCAGGAACCGATTTGGAACCGTTTGAGCACTGTGGAGCGAAAATGTCAAAATTTGCATCAGTCTAGTATACATTCCAGTACTACACTATGTTTGTTTTGATTCGCTATGAAAGTTTGACAGATAAAATGAGGGGTTCGTGGATTTTCCAATGTTTCGAGGGGTGCATCGATTAGCTTGGGACCACAGAACAGAAGGAGAAGTGCAAACAAATCGGTGAATCAAAAAGTGGTTCGTTTTTCTGCTCAACAAGCGATGTGTGTGGTAGCGTTCCACGCGGGCTTTCTATGTGCTCTCACACTATCATAGCATGCTGCCTATCTTAACTGCAGGCAGAAGATGTCTTCTACCGCTAGGTGCGCTAGTGTTCGCAAATGACAAGTGGAGCCACTTTCTGATCCGAAGTTCCACTCCTGTGTTGGGACCGATGAGAGTACCAGAGCTGAGCCAAAAAGTTGAGCTCGTTTCTTCGGGACCTTCTGGTCTTAGAGTTACCTCTATGGTACAACACTCAGCATGATGCACAACATGGTGGCGAGATACAGAGATGTTTTCGTTATTTTTTATAAAATCCGGAGAACTTTGAGATTAGGGCTTAATTGCTTTTGTAAACAAACACGACAATCGCCGATTTCTCGCTCATTAAAGCTTAATATAAAAAAAATAACAGCAAAAAGCACAGCAATTTTCTTAAATCTTGTTCGGTACTTTTTTGCTGGATGTAATTTTCACCGAATCTTTTGTAAAAAATATTATTTACCAATTTTCCGCAATCAGAACTGCTGAATTTACGTAATTTACATACATTTACCGAAAACTGTAAATAAAATGTGCGGATCGAAGCTGTAAAAGGCTGCGATTCCGCAATTCTGTAAAAAAATTGACGAATGTACTGTAAAAAATAATCTTTTACAAACAGAAACAGCAATAAAGTACCGAATTCTGTAAAAGTTACTGAACAGATTTTCGTACTGTCAAACTCAATATTGGTTGCCATTTCGATGTTGCGTGTCTTTCGGTTCTACGTTGTAAAACGTAAGTACTTTACTTTTAGCTAGATTCCGGGCAATTTATGCCGAAAATATAATGAGTATTATTTCTAGGCCAATTTTTTTCAGACGTCATGGACGTTAGGTAGGTCAATGTTCTCAACTAACATAAAAACTGCATTTTAGCCGAGATTATAGCACTCCTCTCCAAAGGAGGAGTTTGGTAAAGAGATGATAAAACCGATTTGTACCTTTCTAAAGTTGTCCTAGCTCGCTGTCTACTCTCTATATGCAATTTTCACACTGCCGTACTCTAAACGGAGCTATCAATTCTATACTTTCATCTCCTCATCTATCGTATAAAAAATACCACTTTAGTCTGTTATTTGAAATTAGCATCTTCAACTATGTAAATCGTTGACTTCACGCAGAAGTAATACTAAACATATAGCCAAAAAAAAAAAGTTTTGCTAAAAAACGGGGGTACTACCGGCGGGTGGCAAAGGCTTACCTTCGACGACAAATTACGACCGATTATGGGTAACTTTGCAACAGTCACAAAGTGGGCCAATTATTTAAAATTGTCCCGTAGACCCCAATATTTGAAGAATCTCAGGTTTCATGAAGTGCACTCAAGGTGAAAATAACACGCTGTTGTATTTTGTACAGGGCGCGAGTGCTCTTGTTACAAGTTTTTTTTTTCTTTATTTAGGAGATTTTCAGCCGTAGGCTGGTTCATCTCCGATGTTATAACAGTTGGCGAAAATCAATTTATTCTTTATGTGTTTGAATGTTATTTAGGGGCCTTACTTTAATTATGTGACACATTAAAAGTAAGAAAAATGAACCTCGCCCTTTTGTCACGGGTTTCCTATATCTATTTCCTAATACTGTAAGCAAACGCTAGATTGGCATTCGGCAGGACATCGCAGCAGAGGTAGATTCAGGGGATTATGGGGGCGGAGCCGCAACAATTAAATCAAGCAAGTCGACAGAAATGTGGCCTAGACCTGAGCACTGCCGGAGGGAGTGTGAGTGAAATAGAGTTGAAGAGCAGAGCAGAGAGTAAAGTGGGCCAAATACTAGAAAGATTCGACAGCACCAAACTATGTTAATGATTGCACCTGGAGAATAAAGGTTTGAGCAGGCACCGAACATCTGTAAAGAAATGCAAAACCTTACACTGGATCTACTTACCTTTCGGACATCCCAACGAGATTTCTTCGGTACGGTCCCATCGTCTTCAGATAGGTCCATCTCATCATCACCGATATCGTCCAACTGAACGCTCTTGATTTCCTAGTCAGCGGCAACCGTTGCATGGTTTTCGTAGGAGAAGAAGAAGATAACACAAACGATATAGGTATAAAGCGCCTACAGTACGGATTGGTACTTATAATATCTTATGAATCAACCTTAGGTACTAAATATTATTTTTGGGAAATAGTTTAAAGATGTTTATTTTTATTTATTGTCAAATAATTTACTTCTATCGCTGGTTTCCTGCGTTGAATACTTCCATTTGGCGATACATCAATAGGCTTATCCTGTCTAAGCATCGACAAGGAGGCGAAGAGTGATGACTGAATAGTTCGAATATTAGACATTTAACAGCTTTAGCGCTATTCTGTTCCCATTAAAAGTATACATGCTTTGAAGTGAGTTTAATATCACCATCAACTCTTCACCTTCTTCGCGAATGCTTTGCTTCTTGGGTGGATTTGACTTGGGCGATGACTTTATTGTTTGCATTACTTACCTTAGCTAATTCATCGAACTACACCTCAAACACCTTTTTACCATTATTTATGTTCGATAATCTTATGAAATTAAGGTTTAACGATGTTGTGATTGATTGCAGAACATATATAGCTGGTTAGGCAAACGTGCTGATTATACGATGAAAGCAGTGCAAGATATTTTAAACTGTCAAAATCAATCAATTTAAAGACAATAACATTAAAACTAACAGTAACGTGGCTGATGAAAAAACGCAAAAAAAAAAGATTACAAGCATTCTTACTTTAAATGGGTAAAATAAGCTAATTGATTCAATGAAACCGTCGGAATGGGAGAAGTGCAGAATGAACAATATAGTGATTATGACTATTGTCTATCTACATTGATTAGACTGTACGAAAATGACGTGCTTCGAAGTGTTATGAGGAAGCTACGGAGGTAACAATATAGAATCTCAAGAGACATGCTGCGGATTAAGAAAAGATTTAAATACATACCAGCGATTGCTTCTTCCAGGCATCGATGTTCTTTCTTTGGGCTTTAGAAAAATGATCCCAAACCTTCTTGTGACTGGCCGCATTGAACACTTTTTCAATCTGATTGACTGAATTGGAGTGAAGTGGAAAATAATAACAGTAATAATAATGATAGAGCATTTTCCGGGTTTGCTGTAATGTGTGTTTGATGATGATTCAATGAGAGGAAGATAGGATGGTTCATTATGAGAGTTGCCCTATTCATATTACATATGTATACGCTATTCATCGGCAGATGACCATGAACGATTAAGGGGTTTTTATGTACAGTTATGTAGCATTATAGTTTTAACGTTGAGATAATTAATACCTGTTACTTTTGATGTGAAATTCACCAATTGAATGGAGTTGGAAAAATTAGTGATAGAATTCGATCAACTAGGATGATCAATATTTTTTTTAAAGATCGTGGAAGCAGCACAAGGGTTGCGTGTGCCGAAAGTAAACGTATCAAAAAATGAAGGAAAAATGGTGAACACAAAGTTACATAAAATGTTATGCAGGAAATTACCGTAAATGTGGCTCACATCAAGTCAGAACCTTTCACATAGTCAACGTAAAGCAATTCGGCTACCCTTTTTTGCATGTTAACTACATTGTCTCATACCAAATGATCGGCTACATACCTTCGAAGAGTACCAATTGACTTCCAAACTGAAGTTGTTTGAGCAACACCCTTTTTCCGGACAGGGACTAGTGAGGTTCATGTGAGAAAGAAGTTTTATGTTTGAAATACAATACCTTTATAATTACTACAGTGCGACAGTGTTATCCCTTGCATACAACCTTCACCAACTTAGATACCCACATTGCTTTCGTCAATAATTGTGATGAACAAAAAAAAAAGCTTTTGAAAAGTTTTATTCCAGCGCTACTATCTACCGAAGAAATACTAATTATCTTAGTGGAAAGATTTTCAAGGAAAAGTCGGAGAGGCAATGTTTACTTTTGAGCTTGAAGAAAGCGTTGCGATTTAGTATAGTTACTGAAGTAACAAAGAAAATTATTAAAGAATCCGAAATTCGGAAAATATACAGATCACTTGCATGGTTTATAAGTTTAAATAAGTTTCAAAGTATGGACCACTGATAGACCCTTAAATATGGGCAAAATGTAGTTAAATAGACAAAAATACTTTTAATTGGCCATCCATCAACAAGTAAAAATTCAACCAAATTTATGTTCGAATTAGAAAATCAAAACTACAAAATACTCCAGAAGCTTTAAGGATCATATAGGTATGTAAGGTACTTCACCAATCCCAATGCATTGTTCCCGTTTAAAAATACCAAGCAAAACACTGAAACTGTAGCGCCCCGTTCAACTTACTTATGGCTGTGATGAGAGTGTAGGAAATTCTGGTTATGGAAAGAAAGTAGGAAGTAGAGGGAAATTGTGCTAGACCAATGCGGCAGCTCTCTACACACTGTTCAGTTCAATTCATACCGATACGTGAAAGCGAAAGAACCATCTACTTACATTGAGTCAGCATACTCTGCATCTGTTTCCGGTAATGCTCCCTTGCCCGGCACAATTCTTCATCGGTGATTCCTTTTTCGTTAAGCAACCGGCGTACGTGCGAATTTGTGCTCTGAATCATCGTGTAAAAATTGTTTGCATTTTTTTTATTGCAATCGCCTCGCTCTAGCCAAGTGATCAGCGTTTGTACGGCTTTGGCGAAGGTTTCGTCAGTTTTCAACTTTTCAGCAACCGCAGTTGCCTCATGATCAGTATAATGGATTATCGGCTGAGGAGACAATGGTCTGAGGCGGTCGTCTTCGACTCGTTCCCGGTGACGCCTTTCACGTTGCAGCTTTCGTTGACGACATTCATAATCATACTGATCATCTCGAGCATGTGCAAAATCAACATGCAGCTGTCCGAAGGTGGCAGGATCTTTCGGTTCAGGGGAACTGAAGTTGAATCCTCCCGTATTTAGTTTTACGCGGTAGCCGGACAAATAGATCGCTGAGTCAACTGATGCTTCATACACGAAGCGAATGTGACAAAAGTTCTTCTTTGAAAATCGTAGTGTGGTAATTTCACCGCAACGCTCAAAGATTTCTCGAATTATTTCTTCGGTGATAGAATTTGGAAGACCACCAACAAACACTGTTCTACAGCCTGGCGGACGATCGATCGTTTTGGGTACCGGAACATTTGGATTCGGCGGATACAAAGTACACGATTTGCAATAAATAATCTCTTTACTGCCATCTTCCGACCTCACCATGTTCAATGTCTGTTGAGCTAGATCGACACCAGTATTTATCTGTTGTGCAGTCATGACGGGAAATGTCTGCATTCCTATTAATGATGAGCCGTCCATCATATTCATCATTCCCGGTGCCATCATCATAAATCCTTGTGGCTGCGGAATCAAACCATTGAATAAAATCTGTCCACTACTTTCCACTCCCAGCTGACCACTTTTTTGAAGCATACTCTCCTTTTTTTCACTAGAGCTTCCTTCTTTGATCGAATCTCGTTCCGAGGCGGACTCCAAGTCCATCGGAGCGGCACCGCATTGGGTATGATTTTGTTTGCGGGCATATTCCATTTGACTATTGTTCAACAACGATGCGGTACTAGTGGAAGCGGCACTGATTGGTTGTGCAATGTATCCACTCCCGTTAGAAATGCTTCCCATTATGGGGTCTGCAGAAGAAAATGTACATGTATGAAAAATCGATTTTCCAGAGCGAGCCAAACCGTTCTTCATTCATTCGATAAATAAATGCATGTTGTTTACTCACGCATAGTGGCGATTGCGTTGCCCGAGATTGAATTCAATGTAAAGGACATCGTGACGAGCCGCGAGCCCTTGAAAATCAGCAAAAAATTATTAGAACTCCGCAGGAATCCGATTTTACGTAAACAATCGAAATGAAAATTTCCACTTTTGGCAAAAGACATCAACGCTGTCAAAAAGCGAACAAAAACAAACGCGATCAAGGGATACAACAGTATTACTCTAGTACTGCATTGGCCAGATTTGGAATACAGTCAACTCTATATATCAAGGTAATGCCCATTCTACACTCAGAAAAAAAATTAACCTAATCTAGATAGAGCTGGAATTAGGGCGTATCAGCGTTTGTAAACAATGACTTCTCTCGATGATTTCTAGAAAGTCATGGCTCTCGCTGGCAAATCGACATCACGATCGAGTATGGGAACCCTAATAAAAATTGTATGGTTAATTTGCTTAACGACGTGTTCTGGGTATCATCCAAACCATTTGTGGAATAGTTATGATTTGGGTTATCGTTCGTTTATGGTTATTTTTTATTAGGGAAGACTTACACTTATAAATTGAACTATTCCCATTTTGCTTGAAATTTAATCAATTTGATATTAAACTCAGTTTAATCATAGAGGTAACTCTAAGACTAGTAGGTCCCGAAATAACGTGCTCAACTTTTTGGCTCAGCTCTGGTACTCTCTTCGGTCCCAAGCTAATCGATTCACCCCTCGAAACATAGGAAAAACCACTAACCCCTCATTTTATCTGTCAAACTTTCATAGCGAATCAAAACAAACATTGCGTAGTACTAGAATTTCGACTAGAATAGGGTACGTTAATCGTTTGCTTGGGACCAATAGGCTACTAAAGTGGTGAGCCAATTTAAAATCGTTAGTTTAGTATTGATTGTTGGTATTACCATAGAGGTAACTCTAAGACCACTGGGTCCCGAAGAAAATCATTATTATTTTTGGCTCACTCAGTACCAGAACAACGGTCCCAAGCAGTCCCAAGCTATTTCACTCACCCCTGCATGTTCTGCATGAATCCACACACCCCTGATGTTATCTGTCAAACTTTCATAGCGAATCAAAACAAACATAGTGTAGTAATAGAATTTCAACTAGAATAGGGTACATTAATCGTTTGCTTGGGACCAATAGGCTACTAAAGTGGTGAGCCAATTTAAAATCGTTAGTTTCGTATTGATTGTTGGCTCAGCTCTGGTACTATCTTCGGTCCCAAGCTAGTCGAATCACCCCTCAAAACATGGGAAAATCCAATAACCCCTCATTTTATCTGTCAAACTTTCATAGCGAATCGAAACAGTAGTAGTAGAATTTCGACTACAATGGGGTACGTTAAACGTTTGCTTGGGATCAATAGGCTAGTCAAGTAGTGAGCCAATTTCGTTTCTGCGGGCCCTTCTGGTCTCAGAGTTACATCTATGGTAGCTTGACGATGACGAAGGGGCGAGAATCGGGATGTAGCCTCCGAAGAGGAGAGTCGATCGCGGGTGCGTGTAGTGAACTCGTGTGCGCCGTTCAGCACTACCGGCCACCATCGCGATCACTGGGCCTCAAGGTATTCTACTTGGCCGTTGCAAACCGGTCCGGATTCTCGATCGTTGGTACCTGCCACGATCCCGCGTGTGCAGTCAGCAACATTGGTCTCCACCACGATCGTGGGGCTTCTAGAGCGATTGTACGTTCGTCATCCGACAAGCCGCCATCTTTGCTGTTTTTACGTGCCGTGATCCCACGTGCACTGTTATCCGGCCAGTGCCATCTGGTCACTGCCATACGGTCACTGCCACCCGGCCACTGCCATCCGGCCACTGCCATCCAGCCACTGCCTTCCGGCCACCGCTATTCGGCCCTCGTAAAACCATCAGCATCATGTGCACGGCTACTTCCGTTCTGTGTTCCGAACCCGGAATCTTGTTGGGACCCGGAACCAAAAAGAAGGCCTTGAGTGCCCACCCCGGGAGCTGCTGTTGGCTTAAGAGCAGCAGCTCGGGGCTTACGCTGGTACCCTTCAGGGACCAAGCGGTTCCGGGGTCATACAGTAGTTGTTTCACGTTATCGTGAGGAACTCGATACGGTTTCGCAATGATTGCAACGTCACACTGACAACTGCCACAACAGTTGCTGTGACGCAGTTCCACGCCAAGAAAAGGAATTGGAAAAACTCAACCTTCTCCGATTTGCGTAAATCTACACAATTAGATTTTTTGCCGAGATTGGCACCAACGAGCAACTCAGCATTTATTCTTACTGAGATCTCGGCAAAATTCCCGTCGGTTAGCTGCATCTCAGCAAGTTTTTCACTGAGATCCAGCAAAGTAAAATGCCGAACTGCTTGGTGGTGCTAATCACGGCATAAAAATCTAAGTGTGTATGCATAAATAATTGTTTGTTATGGGCAAAGATTCAAATTTTTGCTGTTGGATCAAACCAGGGTCAGATTTCACTATACACGGTAACCGCAAAATACCCAATAATGACTACAAAGTAAGCATTTTCGAGGGAGACTGGGACTACCCATTAAATGAGTAAACATATTACCCATTTATGAGTATTTGTTACTCAAAAATGAATACTTACTACTTATTTTTGTAGTTGTAATTACTCATAAATGGGTAAATTTTTACTCATTTAATGGGTAGTCCCAGTTTCCCTCGAAAATGCTTACTTTGTAGTCATTATTGGGTATTTTGCGGTTACCGTGTAGGTGGATTAATTGGGGTTTTTCCCATATTGGCACAGTGGGCTGAGAACACTGAGAAGTAGCTCAACTGAACCGGAACTCAATTCTGTCACATTCAGCTGGAGCTGCTTTCCAAGCATATCGCATTACACGCTCAGCTTAATATTGAGAGACAGGTATCTGTATCTGGTATTGTATGGGTTACCCACCTTGTCTATAAAAAATATGAACTTATACTTTTCTACGTATGAAAATCCATCTTCCAGAAACGAGCAAATTAAATAAATTAAAACAGTTTGGAATCAATGTTTTCAACACAATTTAAAAGGAAGTGTACTTCTCGAGCAGTAAGGTAAGGCACTAATTCCTGTATTAGCCCCAGGAAATTTGTTTTACACGACATCCAACCATCGAGTGTCTATGTATGTGTATAGGTATATAATCGTTAATTATCGGGAGAGTGCTTGAAACATTATGCAAAGCAGATGAAACCAGATTAAAACAAACATATTCACATAAAGATAAGGACTAAAGGTGGGTATTATGAATGTTGTTACTTGAAACTTATAGACAAGTTACAGACGTATGACGATCCGTTGATAGGGTTGTCTCTAATCACATTTGGGGCATGTCTCCATCCAAGTCGTAGATAAGTTTGATCTGGTTACCTCAAGTGAGGTGAAACACCACTTGCAAGACGGATTTTTATTAATTTATCTCTCGCCACGACCAGTAGACAAGTGAGAGCAGTCAATGCCGATTATCAGTCTGCCGATGGCACAATGCCTGATGATGATGTTGACTGATGCGGCGTGGTTCGAGCTGTTCGTCTAGATACATACACGTACGTTATAGAGAGATGGGTCTGATTCATCGTCGTGACCGGTTAGTCAGGCGGTATTCCTCGTCAATTTAATTTCCATCACCAAACACCAGCTTGAGACATCGGTTTGAATGCTGGAGAGTGCGAAGAACCCGATTGGTTTCGCTCTATGGTTTCATAAATTATCGAGCACGCGGTCATCTGCCAAGCTCAACATGCATCTTTTGTAATTTATTTAAAATTATTCCGATTCATCTGTCACTAAGTGAACAAGTTGGATCACTTGGAAGTAGAGATGCGATGATATACGTTTGCATATGTAAATGCTTCTGAATGCTCGATTGATGGAAAGCATATAATTGATTTTATGATTTACTAGTTCGGAAAATGACTCAATAAATATTCATACTCGTTACATTTATTAGGAAAATTACTGGAAAAGTTTTTACGCAAAATAGGCAGATCAACAGCAACTAAAATGTCAAAATTGTATAATTCATTAAGTAATTATGATAGTAATGATTGAAAACATAAAAAGGAATGATGATGAGCACAACTTTCAACAGTGCAACTGCAACGGAGACGGCGATAAGCATATAGGTAACTCTAAGACTAGAAGGTCCCGAAGAAACGTGCTCAACTTTTTGGCTCTGCTCTGGTACTCTCTTCGGTCCTCATCTGATTATAAATCAATCATGTATGCATATTTCCATATATTACTAAATACACGCCGGATTTCGAAACTTCACTAATATATTGAATAACTCTTGCAATAACATTATCTACTCCAGTCGATTTTCCTAATGAAAAACAAATAACTCTAAGTTCATTTAATGTAATTGGGTGAAAACCTTCAAATCTACAACTACTATTAACTGGCTGTTTTATTTCGTCAGGTTCACCGACCAATTCAATGGATTGATTAATCAATGAAACACTTTCGCCAAAATAATCATTGAACTTAGATGCAATTACTTGTTCTGACTGTTCTAATGTGCCATTAAAAGTTATGGACCGAGGGGTTCGTGGATTTCTTATGTTTCGAGGGGTACATCGATTAGCTTGGGACCAAATAAAGTACCAGAGCTGAGCCAAAAAGTTGAGCACGTTTCTTCGGAACCTACTTGTCTTAGAGTTACCTCTATAGTACTACACCGTTCGTGATGGCAGAAGTGTTGACGACGCGGATAAGTCGATTTTTACTGAAAAATTCGATGAAAAGGCTATAGTTTGGCAAGTCATTTGTAAGTGTGGTATGCTTTCCAAACCATTTGTGACAACGGAGACAATAACAACCGATGTTTACGTGCGTAAGTGTTTAAACAAGCGTCTGTTGCCCATGATCTGCAAACATGACGCCTCAGTACTGTACTGTAGTACTGTACTGTACTGTACAGCCGGATTTAGCGTCGGTTCATTACTCCAAGGACACGGTAGCCTGGTATAAACCCAACAAGGTCCAATTCGTACCCAAGTTTGCGAAATACTGTTAAAAAGTATCCAAAATTGTTAGAAAGGCATCTGTGCTGAAGCTAATGAGTAGCGTGAGATCAAAAATCCGCTCCTTGGCTTACGACTGAGCGGATGTGGGCCATCAGAATAGTTCATCGGTT